CAATTTAGTCTTTATCGTTCAGAGGTGCATTCATTCAGAAACAGATGCGATGAAATAAATTACAATTACATTCTATTTCCCTTACTTTATACGTTTCCATAAAATCAACCGCTTTTAAAGCAATAAAAATTCATTCAGGCATTTAAAGCAAAGCTATTTCCATGCACATTCGCCCATCTAGATCCCATAGGATACATTTAAAATGCCACAACACATATACAATACGAATAAACAGAAAATGTGCAATCTCCAAAAGTTCCATGTGATTCAAAAACAACAAACATCTAAATGGTTGTTGGATTTTCCAACATCAACAGCAATAAATATCATTAAAAATTGCAACAATCATACGCAGATGTTACAAATTAATTTATTGAGAGAGATCAAGTTTTCCGTTTTCGATAATAAATTATAACAGCCGTATTTCTATGTGATACGATCTCTCTTGTCCCAAGCGTACTTTGTACTTTTGATTCGGCCAATAATTTATTGTTATGGAAATTATAAATGGCGATGAGTTATCAATAACAGTAAATTTTGCGGTTTAATGATTCAAAATGATACACTTCAGTAATGATTAAATTCAAACAAGTACACCATCAATTTCAGCTTTTATTATTGTTGTGACTCTGAATGTGATAAGCTTAATCAAAAATGTAATTAGTTTTATTGTTATACCATCAATTCTTCAATCAATAGGGTTTAACTTGAGTTAAGTGACTGCACCATTGAGACATTAGAAATCCAAGTAAATCATCTGAGATAATTGATTGTTTTTAAAGTTTCTAGATTACCTTAAATAATGCTACCGTGTTCTATATTACAATGTATTTCTGTTTTACCGCTGAAATGCATGTAGACAATAACGCTCCCGAAGACATTTACGATAAACGTTTGAAAAATGCATTGCTTACTTTGAAATGTTGTATAGAGGCGATCCAATTTTACACTAAACTACTTTGTTCATTTCTAGTTTTGAGTGTGAACTGCCTCCATTTTTTTCTCTCTCAATAGTATACAGAAACAATGTACCGAGTGAAAAATCTATTGTTGTTTATATTTTTGGATTTAGGAGAAGTGGGGTGATACATCTCAGTTTTATCACATTTTTTTTTTTCATTTCTACGAGCAGGATTTGAAAATCACATTGGTTTTCGGTAATCGATTCGAGAAGATTGAATAAATCTCGCTTCGAGTTGTGGGGTGTTGATTTATCTAACGGAAGAATAATTTTCACAATCAAATGAAACTTTAATAATTTTAATTGTTTTGATCTTCTTCGTATCTACAATCGAAGTTTTGAATTTATACCAACGAACGCGTGTGCAGTGCCAAGTGTGTGTCTCTTTACAAAAAATTTACAATTTGGGTATCAGTGTGCCCCCATTACTCCTAATTTGATTGGAGTGAAAATTCACACGGTAAAAATCATGCAAACTCGTTGGAGATGGAAAAAGTGTAAATCATCGTTAGCATGAAAGGTGATTTTGGTGGCTTAATCGAAATGCCTGGGGGATTCTATTTTTTCACTGTGTTCAGATTGAAACAGCATTATAAATCGGTTATTTAATTTCTCATCGCTTTTTCCAACTGTTTGGAAGTTCCGTTTCGGAACCAATTGTTGATTTCGTATTTCCGTGGTTTTTTTTTTCTTTTTTTCATAAAGTATTTGTTATTGGTACAATTTTATGGATTTAATTAAAGTACCACTCTCTCACTTTATATGCAATTATATATTTTTTTTTGATGGAATGGACATTGGACAATCCATCATATAACTGAATTATGGAACACTCGTTAATAAATTGTTGCGATGACCTGTGCAATGCCATAATCATTTTTGACACCAAAAGTACTTTCAATCAAATTGGAACGTTTATCGACTGTGTGATTGTCATTTGCAAGCATATGATGAATTGAAAAGTCCTCTATATCCTTTGAGAATAACAAAAACGTAAGTTCAACATTTTTTTTATAGCGTTCAATTTTACGATAAACACAATTGGTTGATTGTTGTCGTTATTGTTGAGTGACGCAATTCGCTAGAGACATATGCAGATGGACAACGAATGACAAATATCACACAAATAACTGTAAAATATGTCTTATTTTCCAAGTTTCATGAGTTAATTGTAACTATTATTGCTCCATTTAACTGTCTTATTCGTTCGTGCTTATTCTCTAGCGTAATCAAATGAATATCGATGATGTACGTATAATATAAGTTGGACGACTTTAAATAGCCGAAGAGAATCGATATATGGCTATTTTTAGTGTAAAAGCCACAGACAACAGCAAAAAAAAAAAAAAAAAACAATTTTCGACCACTTTAACTGAGAAAGTAGGGTATAAAAATATGATGAGCTTATATGGCGTATAAATTAATGGAATAATACATTCTGATTGCTTCAATTTGACCTATCAAAAAGAACTATTGTCGCTTCAACTTTGAAATATATATTTGAAATATTTAAACAAGCGGTTAATTTGCTTTGCATGAAAGAACAAAGGCATTAAAATTCGATTTCGAGATAAGACATATTCCATTCGTCATCAAATCGTAAGCTTTTCGGGTTTTTTTTCGGAATTTGATGAAATTCGGCAAATTCATTCTTAAAAGACTATGAAGTCATAGTTGATGATTCACTTCTTTTATTTCAAATAATTTTAATAGTAATTACAAAAAAGTGAAGAAAAAAAAACACGCAATCAACGGAATAATTTTATTCACGCGTGGACTTGGTCACATTGCAAATGAAAATCATTTTTATTTGATCATGACGCGTATTTTTGGACACGCAATCAATTTCTCCGCACCGAATTTAGACACACACTTCAAAATAGTTAAAAATGAATCATATTTTTAAATCAACAACGTTTTGACCCAATTTTTTTTTTCGCTTCACTTTCAATGAAATCAAAAAGATTTATAATACTCAACATTGACCAAACTGAATATACTGAATTTAGTTAGATATGATATATTAATGGCATCATTAGCGTTGTGCGTGACACAAAGTAAATCGTGTTTGTCATTCATAACACAAACTTGGGTGTTCAGGTTCAAAAGCCCTTATCCGACGTTTTTTTAATAAACAACTATTCAAACAATTGGACCGGTTTCATTATGTTTTCGAATATTTTGTGTGTTATTTACTACGATTTTATATCGCATATTGGCTCTGAGTAGTAATTTTACTAATCTCTTTCCCAATGTTTAGTTTTCGTTCTAGTCTCCCGACGTTTATATTGATTTCAATCCATAGAATATTCAGCAAAGCGTATACATTCTTTTTAAATAAATTTTTAAATTTTTAAACAATACGCAAAAATGTATTCTGCGTGTGAGTCGAGTGTATTTACAAATGTCAACCGAACTATTCGGGAAATGTTTCAAAGAAATGTCTAAATTGTTGCAAGTTACTTGAAATATAATATTTGAATGTTATCCCACTGTATTCGGGACTAGTTGTTCCAATTTTTTTTTATTAAATCTAATATTTTTACTTTCATGAAAATTTAACATAAACTATCTTTCAAAACAGTTCATTTTTCATATTAAAAAATGGATTTTACTTGTTCGAAAATAACATGGCTATGATGTCAACAAATGATAATGTGTTGATTAAAAAAATGTAATTCTTGAAATCATTTTTCAAATTTTGTTTTTGATTCTCCTCGCGGTATTCCGACAAATGGTAGTGTCTCGGATTTGGCAGTCTACTGTATATACGAAAGCAATTACTTAATATGAAAAATATCTAATTTTGAAAAAAGAATCAATGATTTTTTGTGCACTATTTTTTAATAAATTTTACTGTAAAATTAAATTAACGCTATTAAAAACATAATAATTGTAATGAAACGAAAGTACGATGTCAAATGAAAATAAGTCGGGTACACAATGTTTAGACATTTGTACTTTTATTTATTTATTCACCGTCTGATCACAGACTGAATTTATCACAAAATTTGTACAATATCGTTCACAATGAAACACCACCCGATCGTATACCCAGCCACCAGCCTTCTCGACTTCGGAGTAGCAGATATCGACTGTGATCACTGTTTTAATTTCTATATGATATATAAAAATTAAAAGTTAAATTTTTCACCAATCAAATATCGAATTTTCCAATTTGACAATATTGTTTCTAAAGATGTGTCTTGATGCCGATTCTAAAAATGTTTCTCTTATCAAGTTAAAGTTCCTACAAGTTACGTAAAACGGCTGATTATGTGCATAATCCGATGAAAATGCCCTAACTCTAATCAGTTCTGTACTTCTTAAATTTCTTTGGTTTTCGTCATATTGCAGTCTTGTGTATACAATTTTATTTCTAAGTGTACATTTAGGTATATAATGAGATTCGTTAGTTTCGATTAAATTTACGCAACGAGATTTCGGGCAATATACAGCTTTTATTAGTCGCTTTTCGTGCGATTCGATGGCTATCCAATTAAGTGGCCAAAAACGTTGTTCGTTTGGAAAAGTATGCGTGTATGCCAAAAAGCGACTAGTATATGCACAAGAATATCCGATTATCCGAAAGATTCAATCGAAACGGTTTCTATTTACTTACGTTCATTTGTTCGTTTTTGTCGATGTGAACGATTTATAATAATAATAATAATATGTTGATTTGACAAATGTTAACAACCTTATATACTAAATAGCATTAATCTTTTTAATTTTTCTTATTTTGAATACAAAACCATTTGCACCATTTTTCGAGATTTTTTCTGTAGTATATGTGTATTTGTTTTACCAAACAGGATAGCTAATTACAATTTGAATTTAGTTGAATTAGTCTTTTCAACTGAAATTTAACGCTATTGATATTTATTTGACTTTTTGTCAGTTTAATTGTGTCAATGTAACGAAAATAAAATATTCAACAAAATTTGCAATTATTTACAGTGCTTTTTTCCGATTGATTTTTTTTTTGGGAGTGATCAAGTAGCGATTGCAAAAAAATAAATAAATAACAAGTACATACCTATTTGCGGTACATCATATTGACGTTGCCCTCGCATCCCTCGGAACATGAATTTGGTAGGTAATCCTTTAGCTATCGGTGGTTGGCTTAAGTCATCGTCTGTAATGCCCATGTGATCAGCACTGTTGTCATTGTAATCATTAAAATTACGATCATTGTAACCATGCATATCCATATTTCCTTCATCATCATCATCCATGTGGGCCGCATTTGATGTTCTTTTACTCATATGCGATCGGATTGCTTGACTTCTACGTTGCTTTTTTTGTTGTGGTTGTTTGCTTTGATCAGTATTATTTTGAATTGTAGTTGCTGGCTGTGATGCAGGTGCAGGTGCAGGTGCAGGTACGGTTTTCCAAGACCGCGTCTTTGTTATAAAAATAATTTAAAAAAAAAAATCAATTGATTTTCATCTTTTTGTCATCAACGTATGTATTTTATTTATGGTGAGGAGTAAAAAGAAAATATATAATAGAAACGAACCTGTTTTTGCCATCGATATCTACCATTGGTATCTGTCACCGATGACCGCGCCAAAGAGCCACTACGAAATGACATTGAAAGTGGTAGCGTGGACGATGGTGATGAACTAGAGCTGGAACCAGATGCAGATGACACCGACGATGAGGATGACACCGACGATGGGAATAGTTCATGATATTTTTGATTGTTTGATAATGGATTTCGTGTCGCCCGCATACTCAGGCCATTTTCTGGAATTATTTTTGTATTAGTTGAATCGTAAACTAGACTATCGCGGTTTATGTTGTTGTTGCTCAGTTCGTTTATTGGCCGATGGTAAGCATCTCTGATCATGTGTAGTGATGCACTCATGCTGACCAACACACTCAAACATATCAACACTTGGACACTTTCACGAATCATCATTTATGTACTAAATTAATTACTTATACTAAACTGTATTCAAATGATTTGAATTTAGGTATTTGTGTTTATGTTTGCGAGATTTTAGCTATTGTACATTTACTTCCGGCATCCGTTTAAACGTCTTATTGGTAATTTTCTTTGATATAGTTATAGTTTCTGTTTTTCTTTTCTTTTAGGTCTTGTCTTTTGTTTTATTAATTTATATGATTTGCTTAGGATATTTCCCACTTTTGAAATGCACTTTATTGCTTTGTATGTTTTCCAAACGTTTTTTTTTTTCGCTCTCTCTATATATTCACTTGAATTAGCTAAAACTCAATTCCACTTTTTGGTGCATTCATTAATAACAATTTGCACTCACTGAACACATGGCTCAACTTTTCTTTTTTAGCTATTGTTATACTAGGTCAAAACAGCTTTTTCTTGTTCGATAATAAGCTACTAGAATGAGTTTTTATTTTTGTTCAAACCATTCGCCGACAACATCAAATTGAATTTATCGTAACACATAACGGCTCAACTGTATAGTTATAGTATTATAGACGTAGAAAATCAATTGAAATGAACTGATATTTATTTCCACTCACAGTATCATGCACATATAGTATTAAAAGTATTGAACTATTTATGTGTAGCTGTTTTCTTTGTGTCTGTGTCTGTGTCTGTGTGTGTGTGTGTGTGTTTGTTGTTGCAGTTGAATTTAAAATGTTTTACAATGATTTTATTTTGCTATGCTTAAATAGTAGTCAGTCGGAATAAAATCACGATGTCAGTCACTCCAAGTTGCCGTTGTGTTTTTCTTCTTCTTTAATTTGTAAGCTGCTTTATTGCTCTTTTCGTGTCGCTCGTAATGATATCTCAAGTTGTATTTTTCTCTTAATCTATAGTCATTCAGAAGATATTTTGTTGTCGTAATGTCTATACATTATTCATTTCATTGATTTCAACCATCAGCATTTGGATATATTTCACCCTGTAAAATAAAACAATAATAATAATACAAATAAATGAAAAAGCAAATTTCTGCAAATCAGTTTCTGGTTGTAGAATAATTACAAACGAAATAGTGTCATTTCAATTAAATATCATGGTTTTTGAAGAATCATTGTGCTCAATTTTTAGTGAATTTGGAGTTTTGATGCATGCTTCGCTCACATTCAATTCGAAGTTGAAGGATGTTCTTTGAATAAAACTTTGACTCAATTTTATCACATTGCGCTGCTCTTAGATTTTAGTTATAATCAAATGAATTTGATCTAGCAGTTATTTTCGCTGCGCAAAGGAAACATATTATTAAGTTTTTTATTTCAATTGAAACCATTCTTTTCGAGTTTGATGTCCGTAAAATTTGTACAATGAACAAAATATATACTTGAAAATGCGCATCCCATCGAAAATCATCAATTGCAATCTTGTTCTTTTGTTCATTATTTTCGTTATTTTTTTTGGTAATTTGCGTTCTATGCTTTCCCATACCTATATTAAGCTTGTAACATGATTGCGCTTCCAAAAACATCATCTTCAGTATATGTGAGGTTTTTGTTTGGTTTGAAAAAACGAAGCAAAATAAATGAATGAATAGCAGCAACTGAAAATCGCAGGCATAAACACATATGTCTATCGATTTGTAATAGCTTGTGTCTTTTAGATCACTTCCTTTTTTCTTTCTCGCTTGGTAGTCTTCAGTCTTTTTTTGCTGTCCATTTCTTTATTTCTGATATTTTGGCAAACGACTTTGTTCGGCTTTCCGTCTCTTTTGATATTTGTATGTACTGGTTTTGTTTTTAGTTTGATCTTACTTCATCTGGTGTTGCTTGATTTCGAGTTTTTATTTTGTGTTTAAATTTTATCTTTGCTGCGAGTTATTTCGCCAACTTTTGTATTTGATGCTATATATGTATACATATGAGTGCAAATGAATCTGCACTTATTTGTGTTCGTTTCGTGCTTTTATTTATGAAGATCACTTCTTTTGGTTTGCATGCAATGGAATTATATTATTGGAATTAATTGCAATTATGCGTCTTTTTCATTTCATTATATTTGTGTTAAGAATCCACAATTCGAGCATAATGCAAAAACCCGATAATCAGATATAATATACATATATGTTTTCAAACTTTCGTACAATCTGAAATCCGTAAAAAAATTGAAAATTTATTTCTGTTTACCTTTGCATATATATAATGGGTTTTTTGATCAAATTGAGAGTTGTTTGAGTTTTGTGAATTGCTGCGCTTAACGGTTTGTTGTTGGTCGCTTATGATATTTCACTGTTATTTTTTTTTTACGTTTCTGCGTTTTGAAGTACTGCTTTGTTTAATTTATGTACCGTATCGTATTCTTTTTTTTTATATTTATTGATTGATTCTACTGTTGTAAAACACTGAATTTATTTATAAACGATATTTGATTAAAGGTTTTGTTTCATGAAGAAAAGTGTGTCGGCGGCTTTTGAAAATTTTTGAATTGCAGTTTGTTGTTGGCGTAAGTGTATGTGTGTGGTTTCGTTGAAGTGGACCCATGGAGTAGCCACACTTACACATTTCTAATTTCATTGGATTCGTTACGAAAATATTTTATCGCTTATTCTCGTATTATCGTATCCAAAATTGCACTTTTCTTAAAACTGATCGGTTCACTTGTTGTTTATATATATATATATATATATATGTATGTGTGTGTGTGTGTTACAAACACTACGTGTTTCACTACGAGTTTTTTTGTTATCACTTCAAGTCACACTACGCAAATTATCTATTGCCGTTATTTTAATGCATTACAAAATGAGTGGTGCATAATTTGTATCCAATATTATAACTATGTGTATTAGGAAGCTTTGACTCAAACAAACTTTTTTCTTTCATTATCAACACATTTAAGTGATTTGCATTTTGCACAATTTATATTAATTTTCGGTTTTTGTTGAATTTGTGTTAAGGTGTTTGGTTTGGTTTTGTTTCATTAATGATTTAAGCACTTTTCTCAAACGTACAGCGTGTGATGTATGTTCAATTTATATTCCTGGTATTCGAGGTCTGATTTTTGTTGCTCAATTGTCTATTATCTGGAATAGTATTTGATTACAATAAAGCGTTTATAATTGTTTCGATTAAGAGTGAAATCTGATCCTAACATCGAATAAAGCACCAAATAACTACTAAAAATGGATTGAAAACAGTAATTTGATCACACAACAACCATAAATTTTACCGAATAAACTACGTTTTTTTTATATCTCTCACACAATATTTGTGAACTTTTACCCGAGAATTTTTTTTCCACTTTAATTTATTAAACTAAATAAAATTGATGAATTGCATGATATTCATTCCGTTTTCAATCCGTTTCTGTTGGATCGATGTTGGTTTTCAAATTGTTTGTGTTTTTATTTTGTGTTTTTTTCATTCTGTGTCTGTTAACTAGAACTTTTGAATATTGTTGCGTAGAAGATGAGATGAGTTAAACTTTGATGGTGGTACCAGTTGTCTAGTTTCGGCCGTTCGCAAAGATACCTTTCAGCCTTGCATTCAACTCAGCTGGAACCACTGTCCGACCACCTCGGTCTATGTTAGACCGCTTGAAAAATTGGAAAGCATGTTGTTCTTTTTTATGATTCACATCAAATCACACAATTAATTCGGCTCAAGATTCAATCACCATGTTGAATTTTGAATGATAAACTTTGCGAGTGATTTGCAACAAAGATAACTTCTAGCATTTGTCAAAAGATTGTTGAATATCAACAAATTTGTTTTTTTTTTTCTCGTGTTGTCCTTCGTGAAATGGCTTATTGACATTCAACAATCTTTCAAAGAAAATGCAAAGCTGAATATTGCGATTATTTGTATTATTTTATGATCAAATTTAACTGGTTACATTAAGTTTTGGGTTACCACTTTTTTCTGCCTTAATTTGTTTAATTTTATCCGTTATTTGATGTATTACTTTTCGCGTCTACGTGATAGTAAGTAGTAAGTGTATGCCTATTTATTTCTGTTGTTCACAATCGCTTTCTTCGTTTTTTTTTATTGTTATGCTGTGCGGTGCTGTTATGTCAGACAATCTCTCTCTCGTCGAATACTTGTTTTTCGGGTTTTTTTCTTCTTCTTCTCTTTTTTTCTCTACCGACGGCAAAAATATTCCTAACCGTTTTACTATCGCTTCGCTAGAGGGATGAAACGCGAATGAATTTACGACGGTATAGCATTGATCGAAATCAGATGTAAGTTGAAGCAATAACGTACCGAATTTTGAAGTCAAGCGAATGTTTTGAGTTACTTTAAACACATGCGCAATGCTGCGGCAAGTCATCCAATTTGTTGCCGTATGCACCGTGTGCGACTGGATGTACACATCGTTTGCGTTCACGATTTCCAATTGCCAGAGATTCATAAGATATTCCATTTTGGCTTGGCAATTTCAAAAACGCAATTTTACCCCAATATTCTTGATTCTTCTGCGTTTTTTTCCATGCCACATTTAAGCTTAAGCAAACTGAATTCGTTGTATTCCATTACCCCTTAGCCAAGAGAGAGAAGAAAAAAACGGTCGGTTCAATTGACAGTGTTGACTTGAGCCATGTCTACGACCAACCGTGCCGTATGTTTCTCACAGAATCCATTTCGCAGTTTTATTTCGTTTCAACGCCAAAATAACGGTGAATGAATAAGTCGATCCAATCCGAATCTGAGTTTAAGCTATGACGCTTTTGTCCTAATCATCTCTTCAACTGATATAACGGTTAACAAACATTGCAAAATACATTGTGCGTCTATTGTAGCTTTAGCAAAAAATGATGACGTTGATAACAGTTCCGGGCTCAAACAACATGTAACAATGTAATCGCAATGAAGATTGTATCTCTTTTTTTTCTCTTTCAAATCGATTTTGTTGTTGTTGTAGTAATATATAGGCTTAGTGAATTTAATTTATTTTTTTCCATTATTTTCAGGATTTTCTTAATCGAAATTAATGTTTATTTAACTCTTTTTTGAAAA